TAAGCACTGGCTAGGTGCTAAATCCTTGCTCAGTATCAATTTTGCATTTCTTTTTGGTTAATTGCTTCTCAAACTATAGAACAAAATGTATCATTTTAATATGCACATACTTATATCTTTCTAAGAAGACAACCTCATTTCATTAAGCAAAAGAACATTTCCAATCAGCTAGTCACAAATACATTTCATTTCTTACCATGGATTGTATTGTGGCTCTTTTGAAAGACGAGTTTCCATAGGTGCTACTTACGTGAATTAATTATAGACCCATTTTCTCCTACAAAACTAATGAGCTTCTTCTCAGGATTAAAAAAAATGAATAGATAATACTACAGACAAGTTTTCGTAACAGAGAAATTTGTAGTTATACTGCAATTTTATGTACTCCATTCGGTAGATAATTTTATGGTGTGCTTATTTGTTTGTTTGTCCAAGTGTCTATTTAAATGAATCGAGTCAGTGAGACCTCTTGCCAAGGAATTTCTTTGTCCAAGCCTACTTCCCTGTCAGGTGACTCACTGCCAGAGGTTGTTTTTCTCTTTCAACACCATACAGTTTCCTTTTTGAAACAATAATTACTCTTGTGACTTTTTGTTCAGTGTTTTTCCTCCCCTAATGACTGAACTGAAAATCCATGAAGCATAGTAACTCTCTCTATTTTGTTCATTACTGTATCTAGTCTGGCTCAGTGCATAGCATAATAATAGTTGCTCAATAAATATTAGTTAAATGAACTAATACATTCTTAACCTTAGACTCACATGTCTGACCTTAATCTACTCACCCTGGTAAAACATACAAGTCTGAATTTTTTAGTAGCTCCTGCCTTCCAGAAAACTGTCTCTAAGCATACAGAATGATTGGATTCTTCTGATTAAATTACTGTGGTTACACTCTTCATATACATCATATAGCTACACTCAGGATAAATATTTCTCACATATCAACAGGAGGGTGGCAATGTAGATTACTCCTGACCATTTCCTACCAGAATCATCTGTGCAAATAATTATTCAATCCATTCTATCAAAGGAGCATTTACTTAGCTACTACCATGTATCAAGCCCTGTAGTTTGGACACTACATTTGTTTCTTAGCAAAGTTGCAATGACACAACAGATTGCACTTTTAGAGACCAAAAGCATACTCCCTCCAAGGGCTTTAAGGGATACTCATTCCTTGCCTCTCCCAGCTTCTGGTATCTCCAGACGATCTTTGGCTTGTGACTACATAACTCTAGTCTCTGCATCTGTTTTTATGTGGCCTTCTCCTCTTTGTCATCTTTTTTTTCTTTTTTCTTTTTGAATAGCTATGAGGAACTCCTGAGCGCAAGCAATCCTGCTGCCCTGGCTTCCCAAAGTGCCAGGATTACAGGCATGAGCCATTGTACCCAACATCTTCTGTCTTTTCTAAGGATACTTGTCATTGGATTTGGGACCACCTGGTTAATCCAAGGTGCTCAAGATCCTTAATCTAGTTCCACCTACATATTCTTTTATAGCGGGGTGTGTAAAGAAATGTCATTATTCAATGCACTACAGATATCATAGTGAATAAAGTTCCCTCCCTGATAGAATCAGTAGACCAATCAAAGAGACAGATTACACAAAAGTAATTTCAATAAAACATGATGGTTCTATTGATAGAAGTAGTTTAACAGTCTATGGGACCACCTATCTGGGGACCTAAACAAACCTAAACCAAAAAAAAAAAAAAAAAGCTTCCCAATCGATGTGATGTTCATGAAGGAGGAGTGATTAGGAATTGACCAGAGATTAGAAGTTTGGCTCATTCAAGGAACTAGAAGAAATTCAGTATGGTTAGAGAATGTTGAGATTAATCTGAAGACATATTCTAGACAGCCATTTGTAGATAGCTTTGTTAACAAAGTTAAGGGCTTTGGAGTTTATCTTAAGAAGAAGTCAGAGGTCCATGATGGACCAACACTAATATGATAAAAGTCAGAAATTATCCCCATCAGGTATAAGAACCACAGCACAAATCCTGAGTGTTCTTCCTATTTTCGTAGGGCAAATCTTTTTCTTTCTAATATTCGATTGTAGCCTTAAGAGTATTATGATAACATAATAAAAATTATCTGAAAGACTGTGACAAGAATGTTTAATTCAATATTCTCACATTACAGTCATGAAACCAAGGTTAAGCAAGTCTTTATTATTCTGGGACAAGAACTGAGTCTGGTTGGTTCTACTGTCAGTAAAAATGGTAGCTTAAAATACTGGCAATAGCACAGACTTGGAGACAGCAGATCAAAGATGAATTGCCACTTGTCTTTGTACAAGATGTGCAACTTTACACAAGTAACATAACCATTTAAACTGGGAATAACAATAGTTCCTACCTATCAAGACCACTGTGTCGATAAATTTGATAATAAATGTGAAGCTCTACGTATAGTTTACTAGTAGATAAATAATGACTTGCTCTTGATGAAAGATTTTATTTTATTTTATTTTTTTATTTTATTTTATTTTATTTTATTGAGTTGGAGTCTTATCTGTCATCCAGGCTGGAGTGCAGTGGCATGCTCCTGGCCACTACAGCCTCAACCTGCTGGGCTCAGGCAATCCTTCTGCCTCAGCCTTCCAAGTCGCTGGAACTACAGGCACGCACCACCATGCCTGGCTAATTTTTCTTGATTTATTGTAGAGATGAAGTCTCACCAAGTTGCCCAAGGATGGTCTTGAACCCGTGGGCTCAGGCAATCCTCTCACCTCGGCCTCCCAAAGTGCAGGGATTATAAGCATGAGCCACCATGCCCAGCCAATGAAGATGATCTTGATGCTGTTCTTATAATCGTCTGAGCCTCGTTATCTCTATAGCATTTTACTCCCAGGATAATAATGTGTCTCATTACTCTTATTTTCAAATAACTTGTACATTTAAACAGTTTATTCTCCACAAATAAATGTCTAGGTTTTCTAGTATAGAGATTTAAGAAACAATTACACAGGCATTTTGCAAATTTTGCAACTTAGTATTCAGTTACCCAATTAAAATGTTGAAGCAAAATGTATAAGTATGTAATTACAAGTGTGCAAAAGTTAGTAGTTAGACATGTTAGTAGAACTAGTAGTTTGCTGAATAATTTTTTGAGACAAATAACTCTATTTTCTATAGGAAAGTAATCTGATTTTTCAAAAGGCACCCACTTATATTATTTTCTCCATCTGAACTTTGAATACATGGTCTTAATCAATTACTAGCTACCCAACAACTATGAAAATATATGCTTCAGATTCAGAAGTGTTGAACTATATTATATATTTTATAAATGCACAGTAGCTGAGTAAATTTTTTGTAAATGCCATCTTCTTTATCTTCAAAAAGTTGGTGTTTTCTAGAACATCTATTTCATACAGTTTGTTATTCAATAATTTTCAATGAGAAAGTATGACATTTTAGAGCACAACATTAATTCCCATGCTATCAGTGCTATTTTGAAGATTAGGAAATTCAGTGAAAACCTAATAAAAAATGCTTCAGTACATTATTTATTGGATAAGATGCAACCATTTAACTTGTCTCTGCACAGATTATGAGCAAAAACTTAACATTGAAATATATTGCCCGAAAATGTCTTGATTAAATCATTCTAACTAAAATCTAATTCTAAGGTTTAATAAATTTCTCTTACTGAAAACTGAATGACTTTTGTTTTTATTTACATTTATATTTCTCAAAAAGTTTCTTAAATGCTATGACTGGTTTTCTTACTAATTTGACAATAGCATTTAAGGTTCAGTTATTCCCTTATAAATGTGTCATTTTTATGAGAATGGTATTACCTTAGGTGTAAATTTGAACATAATAAACTGAAGATTTCATTTCAGAAAAATATTTATGCCTATAGAAACCTTAAAGTACTCAACTTTAATCAGTTATTTTTGTAGACATTTATGTAGTTTGTTTTCCAGTTATAACTTTGTTATTCAATTTTCTTCTTAAAGCTGATGGGATTAGTAGATATTTGTAGTAGTCAAGATAAAAAACAAGTTTTATTAAAGTTAAGGAATATTAGGGGACTGATTGATTGAAAATTTGAGAATATTGATAATGGAATTCTTACTGTGAGTTATAGTATAAGAAGGCAAAATGAAACAAAAATATGAATTCTTGACCATCATTCTGTGTCCAATTGGACAAAATCTTTCATTTCTCTTTGCTTCCGTTTTCTTATGTCTTTCATTAAACTTTGCCCATCCCATCCAATAAACCTTATATCTGATTAAAGCTTTAGTAATACAGAAAGTTAGTAATGCTAATGAATTAATTGGGTGAATATATTTTAAAAGATGACTGGAAGATTAGTGAAACATGCAGCCCATGTGGTTTTAAGATACAGTTTTGTCAATGAAAGAAGTAACATGTTGTTACCCTGTGTTATCTGGTATTGCTTCAAAAAAAGGAAGCTTTTAAATATCATTTTTCCAATTACTGCCAATCAAATATCTAAGCACCTACTGCTATACCCTTGTGCTGTGGAAATGGGAATTTACAATTTTCGTGTTTGAGTTAAGCTCTATGAAACATAAAGGAGGTCATTCTTAAAAGGTATTATGCAGTCATCTTTCCACTTTGTGGAAACAGCTTATCAAAACAGGCTGCAAAGCCTGGTCTATTGACCAAAATGTTTAAGAGGAAACAAAATGAACAATACATGAAACAAATTATTTTAGTTTGTCTGTTGACTTAGTTTCGCAACATATACTTAATCTTAAAGGATGAGGTACTGAGAATTCATTTGTTTTATTGATATTTTTTGTAAGAAAGGGGAAAGGTTTATGTTGTGGGTTATGATCTCAGCTCCCCAGCCCTTAGTCAAAGCTCAGTTATTTGGGGTTTGCATCCTACATGCCAAATACTGAAATAAAGGCCAAATATGTGGGGTTTGCTTTGATATGCCATATTTCCAAGTGTATATTAAGCTGTAGTGAAATGTCACCCAGGGAAATTCTAATATTGTATCTGTGTTTCAGCTTCTGACATGGCGGCAGAACAAGGGCAGATTCTCGTGATTGCCACCGCGGCCGTTGGGGGGTTCACTCTCCTTGTCATCCTCACTTTGTTCTTCTTAATCACCGGGAGGTAACTAAAGCATACCAATGTTTTATTAAAATGCATTTCCACGATTTATGACTAGCCACTCTTTTTTTACGCTGTGCATTCAAATGTTTTTAAGTGTAACGATGCACACCTAAGACAGAGACCCTGGTAGATTCTGCTCTGATAGTAGTCAATCCTCTTTACTTCATTATTTGTCTTTCCCTAAATATGGAAGCATAAAAAGGGATGTTAAAAGCAGTTTTTAAGGTGAATTATAAATTCATACTCAATAAGTTACATCTGAGTGTCTCCTTTACTATTATTAAATGACACCATGAATATAAACTCTTTATAAATATAATGTTATAAAAGCATGATGCTTTTAATTGATAAACTATTTAAATTATCTATGCTAAAATTCCATTAATTGTATTGATAAATACAATATTTATCCACTTCAGAGTAATATGAATGACAATTTAAAGTAATGATGACTTTAACATAGCAGAAGACCTAGATTTGAATCCTGACTAGCTGGTCAAAATGCTTCGTCCATCCAGAACCTTAACTTTTTATTGTTACACAGGTTTGGTATGACAATATATGAAAACTGGCTATTGATTTTTAAATATACTGGATAATTACTATGAGCCAAGTACTGATACACAAAGATGCGAATGAAGATGATACGTAAAAAAATATTTAAAAGAAAAATGTGACCAGGCGCGGTGCCTCAAGCCTGCAATCCCAGCACTTTGGGAAGCCGAGGCGAGAGGATTACCTGAGCCTATGGGTTTGCGACTAGCCTGGGCAACACTGTGAGACTTCATCTCCATAATAAATCAAAATATTAGCTGGGTGTGGTAGCGTGTGCCTGTAGTTCTGGCTACTTGGAAGACGGAGGAGGAAGGATCACCTGAGCCCAGCAAGTGGACGCTGGGGTGGCTATGAGCATGCCACTGCGCTCCAGCCTGGGCGAGGGAGTAAGACTCCAACTCAAAATAAAAAAAAGAAAGAAAGAAAGACAAATTTTATTTTTTACTTAACCCATGATATTTTGCCCAGACTTTTGTCATCAATCTCAAATATCTTCAGATCATTCTAAAAAGAAGATAAAATATACCTTCCCAATACCAATAGGGACACAAAAGGATAAGAGATGCCTCGATAATCTGAAACACATCTGCAAAATACAAATGTTGTGTTTGCTAATACTGAAATACGAATGCCAGCCAAACAATGCATGCCCATGTCGATCACAGTTAAAGTACACCAGAAAACCCTGATACCTGATAAAGAGCAGAAATGATAGCTATCTTCAGTGACTACAAATACTCTTTGTTTTATTCATTTTTAAAACTCCACTGAGGATTTTAAAAATGAATATTTTATTAAAATGTCTTTTAAAATTGCAGAGGATATGCATATATGAAAAGTTATTATCTACAATATGGATAGAAAACTGCTAGAATGTATCTAGATTCATACGTTGGCAGATACTTTGACTGCACATACCAGGTGTGGGTCCCTGACAAATTGACTGCTCTCTGTTAAGATTGTATTTGATTTAGTTTTAACAGATCTACTTTTATAGAACTTAGAACAAAGAAACATGAATATTCTAAGATGGGGGAGTTCCAATGGTAATTTTCTTTATGAAATTAAATGTAAAGTGAGCACTTTACCTATGTGTACATAAAATTTTCATGTATATAAATAGATATAGCATTGCTCTCTAATTAGTAGAACATGTCTCAGGGAATCTTCTTGTGGGAGGGTGATTAGCTGATAGAATATTGCTACCTACAGAAATAAGAAAATAACCAGACGTGAGGGAATTCAGGAAATAATGATAAATCCATCTTAATAAAATGACTACTTTGGGCACACCTTGTTGCCACCATGAGATACTGTTGCCTGGTGTTATCCTAGGACTCTTTCCCTTTACTACCAGGAGAACGAACCTCTGATAGCTCTTTGCATCATCACAGCTTGGATGCAACCCATCTTTCAGGGTGGACAGAAAAACTTTGGAGTCTCTAAACTAATTAGTAATTAGATTGAAGACAAAAATGTTTAAGACTTTAACCTATAAATACCAAACGTGGCCTGCAAAAACCTTAATTGTTAGCAAGGATCAACTGGTTATAAAAATAAACAAAAACCATACACATCCTGGTGGAGGCCTATGTTTGTTTGCTCAAACAAATTTAAAATTAACAAAATCATTCTAATCCTGTCTAGGACTCTCTTACAAAGAGAGGTATTAGAAAACAACGATAGCCGGGCTCGGTGGTTCACCCTGTAATCCCGCGCCTTTGGGAGGCTGAGTTGAGTGGATTGCCTGAGCCCGCGGGTTCGAGACCCGCCTGGGCAGCGAGACCTCATCTCTACAATAAATCAAAAAATCAGCCGGGCGTGGTAGCACATGCCTGTAATTCCAGCTACTCGGAAGGCTGAGGCAGAAGGATCGCCGGAGCCCAGCAGGTCGAGGCTGCGGTGGCCGGGAGCGGCCACTGCACTCCAGTCTGGGCGACAGAGTGAGACTCCAACTCAAAAAAAAAAAAAAAAGAAAGAAAGAAAACAACGATAATTAGGGGGAGAGAGAAGGGAGTGGGGAGGAAGCAAGGAAAAAGAAAGAATATTTCCGTGAAGATTAAAGGTACAAGTCTGAAAAAAAAAAGGAAAATGAAAATAAAAGCATTTTGGTGCGTGTAAAGTCACAATGACAATTCAGTTAGGTTAAAAAATTCAAACTGCCAATACTTTATGCATTCCTATATGTTTAGCAAACCTTATTAGGAAAAATGATAATTAGAGGAGAAAACCCTACTGTATATTCATTGCCCTGTGTAACATAAATGCTGCCTATAAATTATGAATTTGGGGGCACTGGTATCTTGATAATACTCCGATGGTCATAGAGTTGCACACATTTGACAGACAATCAGCTTTGGCACCCAGAAATTTCATTCAGTTATTCAAGTACATTGAGGTCCTTTAAGGAGTTCTTAGCTCTGACAGACACAAATTATATCATGTTAACTAGACTGCGATAATTTAGATATGGTTAATTTTGATTTAGAAAGATTTTTATTTTCTATTTTGAAAGTTTCTTTGAAGAAACTTGGAATAATTTCTTAAATGTGATTTCATTTAGTAGTGTCATTTTTATCCCCAATAGAAAAATAATCACAACAAAAAACCTCTGTTTTAAGTGATTACTACATTGCTGGGGGAGGGGGAGAAAGAAAAAGATAGAAAGAAAAAATAAGCTCTCTGCTCTTCACGGAAGTTGGTTTGATTTTAAATGATATTTTATTTAATAGTGATTTGATATATGGCAAAATTCGATGCAGTTATATTTATATGCTTTGTGTAGAACATAAGTCCTTATTTTCTCAAGTATGTCAGTAAACAGTGATTTAAATGGCACATGCACATGTGGAGAAACATTTTATTAAGATATCAGATAATATTGCCTTAACACATAAATATGACAAGTTCTAAAGAAGACATTTCAATCTTAGTAGGCAAAAGTAAGTTTGCCTAATAAACTTGAGGGATGGGTTCAGATATTATCTTTATTTTGAATACCTGATGTAGAATAGAAATATCATTTAAACAGAATTTAATGATGAAGAAAATGTGTACTAAATTATTTTCAGCTTTCAGTTTCTGTGTTTGCCAATTCATATGACATCAGAAACTACTTTAACATTCTACGCACTGGAGAGAACAATTTCAATTACATAAGAATAGACAAATTTGTTTTGGAGTGTCTCTTAAGCACTTTGGCAAGGGAGCATTCGTTGGAAATTATTTTATGAAATCTAAGATATTTCATAATAAGTGCTCAACATGCCATTGAATTTGAAGCAAAATTCACATTGAAAGTTTAGATTATGTACCACAGATGTATTCTGTTTAACCATTAGAAATTAAGCAATTGATGAACCATCAAATCATATGGATGGTGATAAATTTAATCATATTGAAGAAGTCAGAGAACAGAACATGTCTCTACCAAATTTCAAATATTAAAAAAGAATAGTGCTAAGCCATCAGCTACCTAGCACTGAAAGTAGAAGGCAGTTGTCTACATTTCTGAGATTTTGTCTCAAAACATTTTTTCATGTTGACTTCTAATGCTTTTTACTAAGTCTAGCTATTAAAAGTCATATGATGGGGAAAGTGATGGCTAGGCTGACCATAAAATATTCTCTAAGATTCCTATATTTTGGATCCATCAATCTACATGACAGTATTTTGTCCTTATCTGGAGCTAATTTTAGTGTACATCAAAAAACCTTCTATAGAACATTTTCACATGTTATAAAAATATTTCTAAACATGGTCTTTATGACAAGAACTTTATTCATGGGTTATATGTATTTTTATTGGTTTTGTTTCATATCCAGCATAATTCTCAAAACAAGTTTCTGTTTACTTTTTTAAAAGATGTCAGTGGTACATAAAAGCCAAAATGAAGTCAGAAGAGAAGAGAAGAAACCACTTACAGAATGGGCATCGTAAGTGACTCCCTTCCATTATCTTATATTACTTCCGCACTTCAGGAGTTCCTTTTAAACATGTATCTATTGAGTTGAGAAAGAAGTAAAAAGAAGTCACTTCCAACCTTTCAGCATTAAGACTTTTCATTTGGTTTCCAGGTTCGTTGGTAGAAATTGCACCTGCTTCTCATTACATGATATTACCTTTTTTTCCAATTCTACTAGCTGGAAAAGACAACAGACTGAATTTGCTAAAAATACAAGTTGACTGATTATATCTAGTTTTTTTACCGCTTACAATGGCTCCAGGTCATGAGTTGGTTTTATTTAGTAAAACATGAGGCATAGAAATATTAAGAGAATCTTTATTCCTTCTTATAGGGACTGTCATTTAAACGTACAACAAATCAATTTCCAATTCATTAACACTATAAAAAGAATATCAGCTCTTTAACTCTTAGAATACAACAAATCAATTTCCAATTCATTAACACTAAAAAAAGAATAGCAGCTCTTTAACTCTTAGAATATGTATGAAATCCTTGGACTGACTACAAGGTTATATTCATTTCAGGTATCTATCCCCAAGCTAACTGTAATTATCTCTATAGTTGGTTTGATAACTGCCATCCTCTCCTCTCTAACGCCCACTTCCACCTCCACCTCCCAATTGCAGACTACTTTGTCAAGACGTTTTTCCTATCGTGAGACACTGAATTAACAAGAAAGGGATGTTCTCTAATTAGCTGCAATATAGAGATAATACGTGAGGCAACTTGTTTAACTATTTAAACACATCTTTTATTTCAAATTGAGCAAAAGGTAGAAAAGATCTTCAATCTATAACACTCCCAGGGGAGGGAAAGGATTTAAGTGAAGAAATTATAAATTAGCAAAATAGTGTAGGGCTGTTTCTGAAGCTCATATGGTTTCTCAAAAAGCGTCCTAAGGACCATCTGTATTAGAGTGTTCCACCCTCACTCCCCCTATGTCTGACTCAGAAGGTCCACAGCAGAACCGCTACATGCATTTTCAGCAAGCTCTCATCTTTTGTGCGGTAAGTTTGAGTTTTACTGCACTGGCAGAGCTGGGAGAGTTGATACCTGGCATAGGATAACCTGGAAGCTCTGTAAACAGATTGCAGAAACCTAGGTCCAGACACCTGGGCTGATGACTGATGCTGGGCAACCTTAAGATTCACTGCAGGGCATTTAGTACGGAGATGCAGAGGGAAAAGGCGCTCCGGAGGCATTTATTATCCATTTTCCAAGTAGCAGTTTAGCATAAACTTAACCAGATGGGCCCAGCAAGAAGCGATGGAAATAACCCGAGACAGCCAAGGAGGTAGAAGAAAGATAAACAGGAAAAAGTTAAATTAATAACCAGATATTCAAAACTGGAATTACATTGAGTTGGGTTTTTTCCCCTGTATATTATGTTGACCAAAAAAGTGATATTAACTAATCCTTTCTCCTATAGAAGCGTGTACCACCTTAAATAATTGAATGGTTTTTTGGTTTGTTTGTTTTGTTTTTTGAGTTGTCGTCTCACTCCATCACCCAGGCTGGAGTGCAGTGGCACACTCTAGGCCATCCCAGGATCGACCTGCTGGGCTCCAGCAATCCACCCACCTCAGTCTTTCAAGTAGCCAGAACTATAGGCGCACGCTACCACGCCTGGCTAATTTTTTATTTATTGTAGAGATCAGGTCTTGCCAAGTTGCCCGGGCTGGTCTCAAACCCGTGGGCTCAGGCAGTCCACTTGCCTCAGCCTCCCAAAGTGCTGGGATTACAGGCTGAGCCACTGAACCCAACCAACTGAATGTTTTAATTGTCATGTAAGAGTTAATACAGGATACTTGTTATCTGTGCCTAAAGTAGTGTTATCAACATAACCACATATCTGATTAGATACCACTTGTCATCTATTCTATTCATAGCTACTAGATTCAAGGTTATAGAATGCAATCTGAAATCACAGATCCTAAGATATATAAATATCATATGGAATATAAAATAAAGATACAGGCTGTCTGTTCTCCTTTCCTCCACCCTAAATTCTGGGAAGTCAAGAAGAGCGGAGCATTTCAAAATCACTGTCAGGTCTAGGTACACTTGCTGCTATTTTGAGAAATACTAATTTTCTCATGGGCGCTTATGCAGCACTAAGAAGACAGTAGACGAAGCATAAATGAAGGCGGTGGACGTAATGAAGCAAATTACTGCTAATAAGGGGCATTTAATCACCTTCTCTAAACTTACTTTATTACCTTTTATTTGTTTGCTTTTGAGATTTTCTTGGAAGAGCCTGTTTCTATGGAGACCCAAACAACAGTTAACTCTGGGTATTGTATGACTTTCAAAATCTACAAAGCAGCAAAACCAAATATCATCCACCTTGTTGCAGATTTCACATTGGTCTTTTATTCCCTACTAATTTGTATTCAATAAAGGCTCGTTGTGTGCATATTACCTGTAAAATTATACCTAAGGTATTTGGAAAGATAAGATAAAAAATGATCTCCTGTTCTCCAGGATCTAGGAATCTAAAATGGAAACTAGAAACCAATGAGTTGGCACGGTGGTTTGTGCCTGTATCCCCAACTGCTCAGGAGACTGAGGTGGGAGGATCACATGAACCCAGGAGTTCAAGGCCAGCCTGAGCGTAGTGGGACTCCCCAAACCCCATCTCTCTAAAATAAAAAAAGAAAGACATCAATGAACAAAACGGAGGGATAGTCACAAGCGGAAGCAGTCTCTGACTTCTTCAGTTATTCATGAATGAAAATACAGCCATGCGATCGCGTTTTCCAGTCATCTCGTTTCAACATCCTAACTGCCTATGGGCTGTGAGTTCACCATTCCCACCAAGGAAAGAGCAGAAGTTATACAACCCATGACGGGATTTGGGCCTTTAATTTCTACCTTTCCCACCAGGATAGACAAGCCAGTCCTTTTCAGGACTATGTGCAGTCAGGCTGTGGAAGTAACTACAAGAGCACAGAAAATGGCCATTCTCCCTAGTGACCTTTCCTGTCACTGTGCCGTGGGGTCTGTTCTTTACTGGTTGACAGTTTCTGTAAAAGAGAGAGACCACAGAAATAAGGCATGAGTTCAGGAAAGCTAGTGCCTTAGGGTACAAATGGTCCAGGAGGGACTCTAAGAAGCTTGCATTTTTTGGGGGGGGAGGGTTATGCCTTATTTTCTCCATGTCCTGACTAGAGCAGGTGTAAAATGTACTGATATTTTAGTGACTAAGTGAGCTGATTAAACTCTTTATAGGAAAGAAAAGGGTTTTCTGGAACCTGTTATCTCACTCTTTATGAAATCACCATTTTACGTTAATAGTGAAGTAATTATATTTGTGATTCTAGGTAGTCAAAGCTTTCATGGGGGCAGAGGGTGGACAAGGAAAAATGAGAGAATTTAAGTAATGAACAAGAATGACTACTTCTGTATGTCTCTCTCCATTTTAAATACTCACAAGATGTAAATATTTAAAAGACTACTAGGATACTCTTAGACTAAATCAATCTTTGGTTTTTGTTGCAGTACGCTTCCCAGGAATTAAGACTTACATTGATCCAGATACGTACGAAGACCCATCCCTAGCTGTCCATGAATTTGCAAAGGAGATTGATCCCTCGAGAATTCGCATTGAGAGAGTCATTGGGGCAGGTAAATGTAAAATCTGTGCTTTTGAACAAATTATTCCTTCCTTAATGGCTTTGTCACTGGTCTATCAACATATTATTTTAAATCTTAGCAATTGTAGTCATTTAAAAATCTTAAGGAGTGAAAAATAAAAATATCTCATATTTCATTCTAGTCTTTATTTGTAATGGAGATAAATTACAGTGAAACTAGAGTGCTTCAGGAATTTATTTTGAAAATGCAATTTCAGGAGTTTGTTATAAAGTTACTATAGATTTACTCAAGCCCCAACATCCATAGACATTCCTATAATTAGTATTCATAATGATGACCTTGAGCTCTGCAGGACCCAAAAAAGTTTTGAGAATCACCAAGGACAAATGTAATTTTATATCATTTTAATGCAAATTAGTAATTCTTCCTATGTAAACTTTTCCAATACTTGGAACACTTTTTGTTCAGCTATTCTAAATAAATAAGAATGTATGATCATGATGGATCAGCCCAAAAGAACTTACACTGTACATAAGTTAGGGCAGAGGCTAAGCTGATGTAATAAAGAGACTCCAGAATACAGATTTATTCCTCTTTCAAATTCTTGACCCAAAGTGAGTAGTCCATGCTGGCAGAGGAGCTCTCATTCAGGAGGTCTTACAAGGCCTGAGTTCTTTCTCCTCTTTGCCCTGCCTTCTCTTTGCATGCCGTCGTCCTCTAAGTGACCAAGGCTAGGTCACCAGCATATCTACTTTCCTGCATGTGAGAAGGAAAAAGAGTTCAGTCTCTTTGGCATTGTCGTTAAGGCAATGACCTGGAAATTCCAGACACATCTATTCACTTCTCGATGGTCCAAATAAAATCACATGGACACGCTTAAAAGCAAGAAGGTTTGGAGAGATAATTTCTGACAGAGCAGCCATGTGTGCAAAAAAAAGGTTGAGGTGTTTTCCTAAAATAGAGAAGGGGAGACTGGATCCTGAAGGGGAATATAGGTCTCCTCTAAATGCTGGATATCTGTGTAGTCCTATGGAGAGAGCAGAACAGACCCAAGCATGGCCATTCTGGCCAGGTTTCGTGTCTTTACAAAGACCAAAAGGAAGCAGCTGATTATCCTGTGTTCCTTTCAAAGCGCTTTTCCCCTAAAAAGACAGGCTACATAATTTGCAGGGCCCAGTATAAATTGAAAATGCAGAGTCTCTTGTTAACATAATTATTAAGAATTTTGAGGCTGGGTTCGGTGGCTCAGCCTGTAATCCCGCGCTTTGAGAGGCCAAGGTGAGTGCATTGCCTGAGCCCGCGGGTTCGAGACCCGTCTGGACAACTTGGCAAGACCTCATCTCTACTATAAATCAAAAAAAATTAGCCGGGTGTGGTAGCTCACACCTGTAGTTTCAGCTACTGGGAAGGCTGAGGCGGAAGGATATCTGGAGCCCAGCAGGTCGAGGCAGCTGTGGCCAGCAGCGGCCACTGCCCTCCAGTCTGGGCGGCAGAGTGAGACTCCAACTCAAAAAAAAAAAAAGAATTTTGAGAAAGTGACAACAGAGAGTTAAACCAACTGCAAGGTTCTTCTAAACTCAAGACTCTGTAGCAGCACAAGTTGCATGCCGGTGAAACTAACAGGTACAGAGAGAAGTAGAGCTATCTCAAGAATTACAAGGATATTTGCAGAGGTTTACTCCTGGTTTCACTCCATTCCCTGTGTAAAGTGAATCATCTCGTCTCCTGCATGGCCAGGTCTCCATCCGAAACCTGGCACAAGGGTCCTTTTGTTCTTAATTCTTGTGTTCTCAGCCAGAGAGGCTGCCCTATCAGAAAGATTAAGGACTGGGAATGGATCCAGACTCTGTATCCACTTCTGCTGGACAAAGTACACATCAACAGGCATCATTGAAAAGAATGATTACATTATATTTATTTAGCTTTGGAGTTTGTTTTCTTAAGACAACAGAAAGATGCAGAAGAGAGGAGGTTGAATAATCTCCATCATGGCCTATATTTGGCCTTCTCCCTCTGGCCCCCAAGAAAAATGATACGCTTTTTAATATTGTTTTTGTTCAATACTCACAAAGCTACAGGAGAATCATTTTCTATCGTAGCCCTGTGTGCTACAGTACAATTAAATGTCAATGTCTGAAATCATAGTATTGAGATATAAAATATAAAAGTATCCAAAGTATAGACGATATAACGAAATGAAACTTTTCTTTAGTTTTTGGATTCTTTTGCAACCAAAATAAAATTCTTCTCTTAAAAGAAATAAAACGGTTACTGTAAAAGCAAACAATAACCACAAAAGAGACTATTTTATCATCATTTTCCACCTGCTGCGTCTGAACCCTAAGTCGTAATGAGATTTCTCTCATTAGGCAAAGATAGAATACCTAAACCAAGTTGTTAATGCTATACATTAGTATCTCTTTTTAAATCTTTATTTATCTTTGTCTGTTTCAACTTTCAAACAATCTTCTGAGGGTCCTTTTACTGTTCATTTTCAGAAAAATGAAAATGAAAGTGCTTTGTGAAACAAAACTGTTGTAACCTAACTTTCCTTTTGTGCCCCGGTCAGTACTACTAATTAACTCCTATAGGTCATTGGTGTAGTCCATTTTATGTGGCCACAATACAAGACCACCTACTGGGTATTTTAAAATGAACATTAATTTATTAGGCTCAAGCTTCTAGAGGCTAGAAATTCAAGGTTGAAGGGCCACATCTGGTGAGGGGACTGCTTGCCGCCGAGATAACATAGGGGAGTGCATCACATGGGCAAGAAGGAGAAAAAGTGAGGCTGAGCTCCCCTTTTTATTACAAACCCACTGCAATAATCTCTTCACAAGAGCAGAACCCTGATGACCTAATCCTCTTTAAGGCCCCACCTCTCCTTATGTGAAAGATTAAGTTTCCAACACATGGACTTTAGGGGACACATTCAAACCACAGCGGTCATGTTTCTAAAACTCTGTATGTAGAAAAAGCTAGTGAATGTGTGGATGTTTTCCACAGCAGCACAGCGGACAAGGCATTCTTCATTTAAAGTGCAAAAGAATCAATAGCTATGTAGCATCTATGACATGACTTGCACAGCTGGTTTCTTGCCCAACAGTTAACTGTAAACACTTTCCTTAGGCTGTCTTGTATCCTTTCGTCCCCTCCCACCCCCATTCCGCTGTCCCCCACCCCACAACTGTTGAGTGTTTCTTCTCAGACTCCATTTCCTCATCATCTTTGTGCATGAGAAAGTCCTCTTGGAAATGTAAATTACATGATTTAAGTGGCAGTGCCGATGCTAGACAGAGGTAAATTGGGGTGGAGAAGTTGAGAGGGGCCAGATATCAGGTCGTGATGATTGTCAAGTGCACGATATTCAGTCAGAATTAAGGCATTGACAGGGTGAATGACAAGGAGCGCATAGATTCACAATTCATTGTTGAGGGAAAAAATCTGTGAGAACGCCATCTCTTATGGATACAAGACATGCATGCAAAGAGACAGCTACGAATGCTTTCCAGACATATGATCATCAAATATTTCTTAAATGAGTTATTAAAAATGAATGTAAAAACAGCCGTATTAATATTTTCAGTTAAAAAGGAGCATGATACCACACTAGACCCATGACATTTCTTAACACAATCACTGAACAATGTTTATTAGCTGGCTAATATTTGCTTATAAAAGGGAATGTGCTACCTAGTTTTTCATATTAAATCACGATGCTCATCAGAGATATATGTATTTAATCTGTCTTCTAAAACCTTTGTCCTGAAATTTTCAACTTTGTAACCATCAAAATACTATGTGACTAAACCACCAAAGTTTAATTTATCTGTATATATATTCTTAACATTCCCTATCTTTCCCTGTAAATTTCTCTGTTTTTTTTTTTTTTATGAATTTTCTAGGGTGCTTTTTTGTATATCAGTATTCTATTTAATAGTGGCAGTTTATCTTTGTTCATCAATATAGGCCTGAATTTCCATGAAAATGCACATTTCCATTTAAATGAGGTAAGCAGCTCTGTTGCATAGGGAACTATCAAGATCATCTATTTCCTTTGACTTTTTTTGCATCATAAAATGAAATACTGTGGACCGAGGACTGTAAAACAGAAATTCCCAGGCTAAAAGAGCCAAGTAAGATTAGGGTAGAGTCATTATTTTATACATATCTTGCAAGATAATGAGAAGAGTAGTAAACTGAATTTTTTAATCTTGGTCTGGAAAAGGCCATTGAAAAGCTGTCCCTTTTTCAGGCAGCACCAAACCTAAATCATTATAAGATAAACTTGCCTAGCAGAATATGTATAATTCTGAAACATTATTCCATTGAAAAAATCATTCTTGTGTCTCTAAGCCCGTAGGGCACCTTTCTTAAATTTGACCTTCCCTCTTTCCATGGTATCAACAGAAATACACAGTATCTTCCCGTCATTCATATTCTATCCCTTTATCTATACAAAACTCATTATTGCCTCCACTATCAGCCTTCTCTTCTCCTAGCTTAGTGTCACCATGTTTTTTCTCTTCCTATAATAGTCCAGCAAGTTATAAACGTTAGTTTGTCAGCAATCATCTGCAGGTAAAAGAAAGTCAAAAGGACAAAAAAAAAGGATTAAAAAAAAGTATATAAAAAGTGAGTGTCAACACAATGGTTTATTCAGCCTAATATTTTGGTTCTGCTATTGTCATCTTGTCTGAGGTCATATTTGCCCTTGATGATGTCCAAGGCATAATGTGTACTTTATGTACCTCTTCTAATTCCCTTGCCACCGGCAACCCAGCAGGCCTCTTCTTTCTCCTCTGGGACATATTATTTTTCAGTAATCTTAAAGAAACTTTCCCATCCTCTTTATTATTTTTGTTCCTCTTTTACACTTGTATTATTCTTTCTTGTAACAAGACAATGACAAGTGTAGGCGCTATTCCAGATGGCATTTCAAATTCTCCATTTATTAAACAACAACAACAAATTGTGTTTATGGCTCATTTCCTCTATATTTAGTTGAGATGACCCTCTCAGATGCAGGT